GAACGTGAGAGATACGCATATGGGAGGACTGACCGAAGCTGAAGCGATAGCCGATGCAATACGCGAATACTGTTGTAAAGAGCGTGAAAGAACGGGAGGTGGTGGTAAGAGGGCATCCTGCAAATGTTGTACCTGTAAGCAGCCGCATGCAACAGAAGAGACAACAAAACGAGGTCAGCTGATCGAAGAAGACGAAGACTTCGAAGAAGATGAGGTGGCAGATGCTGATGTAGAGGAGGAGGAAGAAGTGGAAATAGTGAAACACAAAAGGGTAGTAAAAGAAGAATTAGTGATAGAAGAGAAAATTCAGTCCAAAATGAGAGAGGACGAGCTAACCGAAGAGGAAGAGATCGAATATATAGAACCAGCATCAAGAGAACGCAGAAGATCACAAGGCAGTGCAGCAGTTAGTCCCGAACAAAAACACGCAAAAAGCTGCAAATGCTGTGCGTGTAAAAAGAAAACGAAGCAAGATAAAGACTTAGACTCGGACTCAGACGAAAATATAATTTCATTGGAAGACATAGAATTAGAAGTGCAAACAGACGTGATAAGCACGCAGAGAGATCAATTCGACAAACCAACTTTGCCGTCGAACAAACGTAACTCACAAGCGAGCGCGGCAAAGAGGAATCAGTGCTGTACATGTGAGAAGGCTACAACAACAGATTTTCTGCAGGAAACAGAAGTGCTAATGAAAAATACGAATTTAGTGGCAGGTTCAAGTGAAGAACTCAAACCAATGACAGCTAAACCAACTAAAGCACAACCCAATCGACAATTTGACGAAGAAGCGAGAGCACGGCCGAAGAGAAGGCTAAGTGAAGAACCCATAAGTGAAAAAGCGGTTAGACGAGATCAATCTCATGTGCTCGGTTGCAAATGCTGTGAATGTAAACGAAGAATTAAAGAAAGTGAAATACTAACGCGTGATACGGAGCTACATAGAAAATCGAGAATTGAGGAAGACAACAGAAGGCGACGAAGGAGCATTGAAGACGAACAAGCGCCCCGATTAAGAGCAACACAACAGCGCAGGGATGTACGGGACGAAAAATGGAAGCAGCAAGATGCAATGGCAATGGCAGCGGCGCGACAACCAAGAAGACAGTCGACGAAACCAGAAGAGACAAGCGCACCCAGCCGCACACTTTCCGGTGGTAAACGTGGCTGTGAATGCAAACCTAGAAATAGAAGAGTGGTGGCATCCGAACCCATAGATATGGATCAAGAGCCAGATAAATCAACGGATTCGGAGGTAGACTCGAGCGAACAGCAGCCTTGTTGTTGCTTTCAACGAAAGAAAGCGAAGTCAAAACGCACCGACGTGAACAGCAACGGCTGCAGCAAGTCTTGCAGATGCAAAGAAGAGCCAACAGCGGCAGCGCAGAGTCGCAAACGTGTCAAACGAAATGACAATGAACTAAACGTTGGTGAATCAAAGACACCACAGAGAAAACGAGTAAACAGTGAACAAGCTGCAAGCAGCAGTAAAGAGGTAGATTGTAAAACCCCATGCACCTGCAAGAAAACGAAAGGCGTGCCGCTGACCAAATGTTGCAAGTGCACCGAAGAAATGGTACACGCCATGGCACGAGAACGCGATGAGGATACAAAGCGACGAGAGCTCGCAGAGGAATTGGCTGAGCGCTTGCAAAAACGCGCTGAGCTACAAATCGCGTTGCAGAAACGTCTACAACAACAAATGAGTGGCAAACAGAGTCAACAAGGCTGCTGCTGCTGCTGCGAACAGCCGCCATTTTGTATGCCTACATATCCCTGCTGTGAGTCCATGAAACAAGCAGAACCAATACCATTAGGTTGCTACGAAGCACCGCCGTGCTGTTGTCCACCAACACCGTGTTGTTTCCAGACACCAGCTTGTTGTTACGAGGCGCCGCCGTGTTATGGTCAGGAATGCCCGTGCTGTTGTCAGCCGATGCCATACACCTATTCAGCCTAGTGTAGCTATCTGCCTGAGAGATTTGTGAAAAAATTATTGCGCCAAAAGTTATGCTATATAGGCAATTGTAGCCTACTTTTAAGCGCACAGATGCAGCGTGATCATGACTTAAAATTTTCTACAATATTTTCAATTATATTTAGTTTTCGAACATGCTTTTTGTTGCTGTCTTTTGCCTGTCATTTGTTGTGTTTTGTGAAAATAAAAACAAATCGTGAAAATGTTTACCTCTTTCTGCACTTGAGATCTCGTTTCAACAAAATTTAATTATAATCTTATTAGTTTTTGCGAAAAAATCAAAAATTATTGAGTCAAAATTTCAACACGCCAAACTATTAAGGCGCCATGCGCGCGCACGCAGCTTGAATAAAAGCAATGGGATGTGCGTGCAGTCGGGGTCGGGGCGGTGGTAGACGTTCAATGCGATCGGGTAGCAGCTGCCAAAGCACACAATCGAATTGGCAGTCGCGCAGTGAAAATTCCGGCATTTTCGATTGCGGCGCTTACCAAATGCCTGATTACGAAATGCCACAGCGATCTATGCCGCGAAAGTCACAACGTTCGGCGGGCTGTTGCTCATATGACATTGACGTGCAACCACGCACAGACAACTGTGTTGAGGAGCGCGGCCGCTGCTCAAGCGCTGGTTGCCGCAAACCGGCGAGACAACAGAGACGACGACGCTCTTGCACGACCATCCACCGCTCACAAAGAACAACCACCTACGCGCAGTTGGTTATACCGATACGCGCATGTCCATGCCGCGACGAAAATGACGAGGATGCCAGGTCTTGCAGGTCGTATAACGACTGAAATGATTGCCGTTATATGTGGCTAAGCGGCTAAGCACAAAATCTTTTTTAGTCCCAGGCATTGTATCAGAAATATTTATCACATTTTTGAAATTGCCAATAAATTACAAAGTTTATTAGAAAATTAATAACAACCCCATATATTTCGGCATACCGAATTCGATATCGATGGGTGTAAAGTTGCCAGATTCTCTATATGCTCTCTGAGAAAGTATTTGATATTGATTTTTTTAAATCTCTTCAGAAGTGACTGTAAAATCAGGGCAAAGAGATAGTGTTACGCTAAAAATTAACGGAGTATACAGATCTCAACTAAAATGAGTGGCCAAATGGTTCTTTAATTATTTTGGTATTTGCCTACTCGCAAAGTTTATGCAAAAAACAAAGGGACTAAAGGGGGAAGGGTGTAAGTTGAGTAGGGTTAGCATGGCATGCAAAAAAGTGGCTAGTGTCACGCGGGGGCTCATTGCACGTAGGATATTTGTTGTATATGTCGCGTTCTACTGCGCAAGCGTCACACTCGTTTCTCGCAAATCGAAATTTTAGATCATTCACAGTCGGAATCTTAACGCCATCGGTTGAAATAATAAAGTCAAGTCTGTACTTCTTCATTCAGTTTGTGAATAGGGTCCCTGTGGGTTTAGTGGGTGAGACAGTTATGTTCCGTGCAGCGAGGAAACGAGAAAGGTCGCATATATAGCCGTTTGCGTGGTTAGGTTTAGGTTAGGTTACGTTAGGTTAATCTGGTAGGTTAATGTGCCGCGCGAAGTATACGTTAAGTTAGATTAGTCTGGTTTGCCAATGAGCCAAGCATTAATCATCCTACAGGACAACTGCGCCTGAGACGAATTTCAACAGCTCCGTGCACCACCTTCGGCGTCTCAAAATGTGTGGATTCAAAATGTTTCAATCGTTGCCTTGAATGTGACGGGAAAGTACAAAGTGGACGCCCTATTGTCGTCGGCGCCCTAACTTAATGTTTAAGTTAATGAGGGACAACTTTTAAGTCCCTACAATCGAAGAGGTGCTCGAATGGTTGCAAAGTGCCAAGATATTCACTACGTTGGACTTGGAAAATGGTTTATTCCTGTGGAAAAGAGGTGAGAAAGAACAAGTATCTTTGCAATATCGTCAACTATCTCATTGCGTTCGACGCCTTTGAGACTTACCACCCAATAGAAGTGGAGTCGCTTGCTTCTGACTTTTCATTCCCGCCCTGCTTTCCACGATATTTCTACCAGATATCCGAGACGAGGTTTAAACCTTGACTGCTGCTTGGCTGTCTACGTCGATTTTGACTCGGTAGTAGCCTGTGGATGAGTTAGAGACTAGCTCCGCAGATTCCTAATATTGAAGCCTCTGCTTGGAATATACTGCAGTGGTGCGACAGCTTAAAAGGCTGCCTAATTCTCCGTTTTCCATTTCTGAGCCATTCCTCAAGTAATGAGTTGCGCGTAGCTGTTATAATTGACGAAAACCATCTTCTTCTACGGTTATCCCGAACCTTCTTTACCACTTGAAAAGTGGGATTATTTAGTCGATGTTTGCCAAACCGCCGTTACCCACCGAGCTATGCCCAAAGGTTCTATGTGCATATTATCCTGGAGCAAATAGTCGCCCCGCCGATTTTGCCGCCCAGCTCTCAGCGAAGAGATCTGTAGATGTCACGTTTAGCACTAGTAAATGAAGTATAGTTAGCATGTAATAATGATGATGCCTACATGAAGCATCACTCTTCGTGAATCCACCCTTCTTCTTTACTGGCGTAGAAACCGATAACGAGGCTATAGCCAATTTAACAACAGCGCGACAGTCCCTTTTTCGCAATTTGGCGCAAATTCGAGATAAAAGTGCAGCCAGGTTCTTCTTCACCTGATCTTCCTGGCGCATACTATCTATATCTATATTTTGTAGTGGAATCTAATTTAAGATTAAATCCTTTTGTTTATTTTCGGGTTACAATTATTGCTCGAATTAGCCAAAAAGTAGGACGAGCATAATGCCTCCGAATATGGCAATTTCTGTTCCATTTTCCACTTCTTTAGTCAGCGCATGAGCTCTATTTGTATAATAGATCTCGTATTCCCTTTACGCTTCTTCACACTTCATTTTATTTGAAATGCCTTATTGTTTCCTTCAATATCCTTTTGAAAAATGTATTATTATTATTTTTTTTTTTTCAAAATTCTACAAACTTTCAAAATTTTCAGCAAAGTGATGGGATGTTGCATTGATAAAGATCAAGCAAGCGATAGTGAGAGGTATCGAGCTCAAGAAAATGTGCCACAAACTCGAGACAACATCAGGAAGATTTGTATGTGTAAAAACTCCGCCGGACCGCAAGTTGCCTGTGCACGCTGTGGCAAAACGTTTCCAAATAGCGAAGAGTATTGTCCGCACTGTGGCAAGCCAAACCCTTGTTACGGTCCACTAGGTGCTGGTACAAGTGTGAAGATACGAAAATGTGGCACATGAAAACGTTGTTGAAACTGCGAGACAACTAAATCAAATAAAATAAAAATTTAAATAACAATTACGCCTGAGGGTATGCTACTGCAGCACACATTCGGTTACTCACCGATGATTTGGTTGCATAAGATTCACTTGAATGCTTGCATGACGGCAGTTTTGAATAATCTGGTAAAATTATTGTAAACTGCTCACCATGTATTACATGAAACTCAAATCCAAAATCCAAGACTCAATTCTCTCGAAAAATGCTGTCACATTATTTTCAATATTTTTTGGAAGTAATAACTGAAAATTGTTGTGTGTCTCGTCAAAATTAATGTTTTAAATAAATAAAAAAAAATATTTGTACTACACTCCATCCGCCACCGATCGGCGCAAGCAGTGCACATTTCGTGTCATGATCAACCGTGATGGGCAGCGGAGAAAGTCGACCTCGCTGCAGAGCAGCCTGTGCCAAAACCAGCTGTTGCAACAGCAGAAGGCGCCATCACAGCAGGCAAAGAGAGAAAAATAATGGCCCTTGCTATTATTGCCATCCAGAGTGTTGTCCCACTTATCCCGAATTTACGCTATCCACCAGCGGCATTTGCTACGTGCAGTGCGACTTTTGTTGTCAAATCTATCCCTGCTGCTGTGCGCAATGTCCCAATTGTGGTTGTCGGCGAGTTAAGTGCAAGTCTAAAGAGGTAGAAATTCCGCCGATAGCGTTTTGTCCCTGCTGCCGCCAGGAGGCGCCCAAAGCCAACGGACTACAACATCTTTATACACCCAATCCCTGTTGCGCGTGTCAATGCGCAAGCGGAGACCAGGAACAAATCGCCAAATGCTTATTGCGCTCGTATAAACTGCCGCGTGGCAAGGGCCGAAAATGTTGTCAGTGCAAGCAACGAAAAAGGGAAAAAAGGAGCAAACAAAACAGGGATCGAAGTAAGAGCGAGAGTAAGAGCTTTCATTACCCGGCTGAAAAAAAAGGCAATCTCTCCGTTTGTAAACCCGGCACAAGCGCCGCCTGTTGCTCGCCGCCACAGCGCGCAGATGTTTGTTGTTACGAGCGAACTAAAGCGTCGGTGCCTCCATGTGCAACAAACCCGAATGCTAATGCTACACGAACACAACAAGAACAATGCCAAAGCTCGCGTACGCCATCTACTAAAGCCGAATGTCAACGAAATATTGCGACTTCTCCTCGTAATAGCAAAGCACGAAAGAAACCTCGCACTGCAAATAATCCATCTCTGTTGTGTTGTCCTTGTGGTCGTGAAGTCGAAATCCGGAATATAACTTACGAACTGCCTGTTTGTCGGGCCGATGATGGAAGCGGTCGTTGCCAGCAGTAAGCGCACAAAAATTTCACAAAATATACATGTATTTGACGTTTTGAAGACACTCCTGATATGTAACGAAAAAAGTGAGTAAAAAAAAGGTTTTTCTTGATCTAAGTCAATTTAGCCACGTCCGTCAGTCCGTCCGTTCCGTTTGGATTTCCAATGATGATAATGTGAAGCGGAAAGGATATCTAAGGAGGATGTATTTGGCAAGACCGTTGGGACAGACAGACTTTAGAATCTGTCTGAGTCTCGGCTTTCTGCTTACGGGGCATGGGTCTCTGAATGCATATTTGCATCAGAGGCACCTATCTGATCGGTCGGTGGAACGCGGACCGAGGACTGGCTGCATGTAATTGCTGAATGCCCGAAAGCTGACGAAAGCTTGAATGTTTGCGATCTAGTTAAGACTCGGTTAAGTCTGACCGGCGACTTAATTCTGGCACCACGGTGAGCAGGAACCCTTGAATTTCGCTCCAACCTATAGTGTTTATGGTTAAAACCCGAAAACGGGAAAAACTGATACTTTGTTGATGAATGTGAAGTTGTATTGCAACCGAGGGCCGAACCCAAAATATGACACGAGGTTTTAGATAGGCCTCGAACCCTACCAAGGTGGTTAGTGTGTCCATTCTGCATTGCCAATTGTAGTCAAAATGCTTAGCATTTGCCGTGCGTCCGGCTGTCCGTATCTCTGTATATATGAGCATCAATATCTCAGTGATATCGATCTGAAATTTTGCACATCTGCTTTTCTCTCCAAGAAGCTGGACATTTGTTGACACCGCCGATATTGGCCCACTTAAATATGTAGCTGCCATAGAAATTGTACGATCGGAATTAGGTGCTGGCAAAATTATATTCAGCGCCTTTTTTCATTATTAATTATAATTTTCCATCCCTGCAATATAGGGTTAAATACCTCAGGCAAATTACTCTGTAAACTTCGACACTGTGGTGAACTTTTTTTTTGACACTGTTGGAGCAAAACAAAACCAATGAAGTGTCTCTGAGTTTTTATATTCAAAATTTCACTTGTTTGTTTTCTTTTCGTTGCCTAACATATTTTTTGTATACAATAACAAAAAGGCTTCAAAATTTTGTTTGTTTAAAAAATCTGTCGTTTTTCCACAAATCAGCCTTAAAACAGCAAAAACTTCCGAATGTACCGGCGCTAAATTGAGTAATGGGATGTATAAGTAGTTGTCCATGCCGGAATAACAGGCGACGTGGTAGAAGTCATGGATCGAGAAATTCATACGGTCATTCAAGTCGCAGTTCGCAGCGCCAACGTTATCCCACGAGTCAACCATGCGAGAGAACACGAGCGCCCGCGCGTAGACAACCAAAACAGGATTGTTGCTGTAATACCGTAAATCTCTCCTATCAATATCCGCAACAACGTCAATATCAATATCCACAACAAACACAGTCGGATTGTTTTACAGACATTTCGGATATGCTCTCGCAATTTTCGAATGTTTCGGAAATGCCGCCGTCCAATATGGATTGTTGCAGCACCACAACGCAAGGCGATCGCGGTTATGACAGCGAATGTGATTGTGACAATGTGGTGCAACGAAAAGATGATGTTGGTTGTAAAACTGTGGTTTGTCTCACTTTCCATCCGCCGCGACGGAGGAAGAACTGTTAATGAGCGATTGTTGCTGGTGTAGTGACCGAAGCTCAACATTAACTACGTATAATCGCTAATAAATTTCTACAATCGTCGGAAAACCAGAAGAAACGACTATCAAGTTACGGGAAACATATGAACGGGCGTAAGAAACCATAGTGCAATAGTAAGGATGCAACCCTGTAGATATTTAACTACCATACATTTACCTACAAATGTGTCGTTTTAAAGCGAAGCTCATTGCAGGTGAGGTATGTCTACTTATATATCAGAATTATAGATTTTGTAATAACTCTCTACTATTTCCCCACAGCAGCACTTTACAATGGCACTTTTGTGGTGAATCTATGTGAATAATTTTTCTCATCCTGCTCATCCGTATCTAATAAACATAATTATCGAAGTTTATCGTAGCAATTTCTCAGCATAAATTCACTGGATAGAACAATAAAAATATACTTAAATTGTAATCAAATTAAGCACACAATAAATACATAAGTACAATATATTCACACCGAACATAATTAAGCGCGTATTTTATTGTTTATGCGATTTTCATTCCGCATAAAGTTGAAAACAATTAACCTTGAATTTTTATGCGATGTGAGATGGTGGAATGTGAGCTGAAAATAGGGGAGACGAAATGAGATGGAGTGAGATGTTACGAGGTAGAGTGAGATGGTACCAGCTTATTTGCCTTCAGTAGATAAGATGAATTCGATGCGAGTAGATGTGATGAGATAAGATGAGATTAGATGAAATAAGTTAAGATCAGATCCGATCAGATAATAAGAGAAGATAACTGATAGGGGAAAAAATAAAATACGATATGAGATGAGATAAGAAGAGACGAGACACGATGAAACAATATGAGATGAGATGAGATGAGATGAGATGAGATGAGATGAGATGAGGTGAAATAAGATGAGACGAGACGCGATGAAATAATATGAGATGAGACGAGATCAGATCAGATCAGATCAGATCAGATAATATAAGGTGATAAAGGAGCAGGACGAGAGGAGATTAGATGGAATCAGATGAGAGGAGATAAACGCTAAACAAGATGAGACGAAGCAAACCAATCCTAACGAGATGAGGTGGGATCAAACGCAACGATATTTGACGAGACGAAGTAATATGAGTTAAGAGGAGATAAAAGCGAAACAAGACAAGATGATATGAAACTGGGCGAGGAGAAACCGGGTAGGGTGAAAACGGGTTGAGTTATGAGGCTTGTGTAAGATGAGATAACATCGATGCGTATAGATAAGATAAGATAAAATAGTAAGATAAGATGAGATGGAATGAGATCAGAACAGATCAAGTGTGATAAAAAGAGCGGAGATAACATCAAATGAGATGCGTTGGGATGAAACGGGCCAAGACGTGACGAGACGAAATTATGTGAGGTGAGATGAAAAGAGGTAAAAACGTAACAAAACGAACACAGGCGGTTCATGAAACGAATCGTTACGAGACAAGAAAAGATGAGATGGGAGATGACAAAAGCGACAGGAAACGAGACTACAGGAAAAAAGAGGTAACAAGACGAGATAAGGTAAATTGAAGTAATATGTGACAATAATATACGCAATAATATCTGATTTTAAATGAGGAGTTAAAGATTCAAAGAATGAGACTAATATTAACAAGACACCCCATAAAGATATTTCTACAAAATTTAAACAATTTATTTTATAACTTATTTTAAAGGTCTCTCTGACTAACTCATGGACTATTTATTTCATCGGAATACATAAATGAATGACGTGAATCAAACGAACCTCAGAAATATTTTCATAATTATCTTGCTACCCACAAAGCGTGGTAGTTTCTTTATGCCTTTTGGCGCTTTTGTTCAACTGCAATTTCGACGCAATCTACCGTTTCACAAATGAATTTCAAGGCGAAAATTTTGCTAAATTTACTTTATTATCTTTATTTTTTGGCGCAAATAGTTTTTGGTCTTCTTTGGCATTTTTCTCTTTTGACTGCCATTAATTAATATTCCTATTCATTACTGAATTATCTGCCACTAATGCTGGGGTGTTCATGAAAGGCCACACGATGCAGAACCGCACTAACCGTGTGACGCTGCGTATAAGTGAAAATGAGCGCAAAGGGGAGCAAAATTCGTGTCGACAAAGGAAGTGGCTTTAAGTGTGTGCTAAAAGGGGATAAGTGCAGTTTGTTAAATTTATATTCGCATTGAGTTTATGTGCGAAGTAGTGAAGATAGTTTTGCTGGACTTAGTATCTGTGGTGAGAAATCGGTTACTGTTTTCGCATATATTATATGTAGAATCTCTATATTTCCGAGAATATTAGCCACAAGCTTGGATTTTAAACCTCAAACAGCAACTTTCTTTACTCATTTTCCAGAACCGTCAAAATCACGTGCTTGTATGAAAAAATTACAAGTGGTATCTTCACCGAATTTTGCATGGATTGCTGTCTGATGTAATGGTGCAATCAGCGAATAAGTTGCGTATATGAGATCTATGCTATAGCGATCTATACAAACTGAAAACCCCTTAAGAGATAAGCCCGAGTTATATTGAGTATAACAAATATGGATCAGACGTTGACTGATGTATAGGTTACTTTTTTGGCCTTTCTCAGTGAGCGCTCTCGGCGAAGACTTTATAGATTCCTGTTAATGTAAATTTAATCTAAAACATCCGACTGTCTTGTTTGCAATCGAGCAACTAAGATAGGATCTTTAGAAGATATAACGGACTAAAAATATATAGAGAATTTTCTAATAAAAGCTCGAAATCGATTTTATGGCAAAAACAACACGCTAAGCTATTCCAATTATATTGAAAATCTGCTCAAAGTTGAATTCAGAGGTCAGCATTGATGAGTGATAAGAATAAACCGCTCGAAGCGAACGTATATTTTTAAAAGAGCTCTTGCTGAAATTGCAAGTTGAAAGCGAAATATTTTTCAATTAAATAGCCGCTAATTAACGCAAAAATGGGTCATTCAACGCAACGCAACGCGCAAGTTTAATGCTTTAACACCAAAGACATGCGTTAAACACCAATTAAATGGACGTATTACATATGTTTATACGCCTGTGAGCAAAATCAATGGCTCTCTGCATGCTCGCGCACTTCGCGCTCCTCGGCCACTTCGCTGGCAATTAAAACTAAAAATTAAATGTGCCGTTAAGTATTGTACGTGTATGCGTAATTACCGTTAAGCGTGCACCACTTGCTGCAAACAGACAATGCAAAAGCGTCCGATGACCGGAATATGGAATGTCGGCGTGAAATGGCAAAGCGAAGCCAACAACAAGAACAACAACAAAGATAACATGTAATAGAGAAACGTGAAAAATAAAATTAATTTAAAAAGCATCGGTTAAGTTAATTCGGGTTGTAGTACGTGCGGAAATCCGAAAGGGAAATACGAACACTTGACTCGGTGTGTGGCAGCACAAGTCGCAAATTGAACACAATGAACCGCAATTCCGTCGGGTGAAAGTGTTAATTACGTGCACGTTTTCATTCGAAGCTATAATCTACATTGTGGTCGTCGGCACTCGACTGCGAAAATAGAACGAAAATAGAAATGTGCGCAAGTATTTGTACTTGTATGAGTTTTAGCTGAGTTGATGGCATTTCTAAGGTAATAAAGTCTTAAAGTGCACTTTATGCGTGAGCATCCTTAAGTTATAGCACTCTAGAGACACAAACGCTGGTTGGCAGCATAAGTGGATTGGAATTTAATTTTACAGTTCCTCTGCGTCTAATTTTTGTTTACCTTGCTTTAGTAAATACATGGTATACACCCAATATTGCGACACAGGAACACCTTTGATTTTATAAGTATTTCACCAGCTCATAAAGAAATGTTTAAAAGATAATCAGTAGTTGTATTCTCTAAGCTCAAACTAAACTCAAGCCAGCTCGGGTTCATATCGAAATAAATTAGAAAAAAAATTACATTCAATGTCCTAGCTGTAAGTGAGTAGGCAAAATTGATAGGTAAACAACTAACATCACCTCTTCGTAGATTGCAAAGCTGCTTTTGACAGCTGACAAAACTAATACGGCTATATAAACTGCGTTGAAAGATATCGAAAGCTCCGTGAGGATCTGGAAGCATCTCTCCCAGCCATTCTGCGAAAGAATTATAGTCCTATGCGCATTGGGAACGGCGGGTACCGCGGTTGATAATGATGACATTAACATAGTTCGTCGAATTAAGAAACAGCAGCTACACCGGCTAGGGAATGTTGTTCGAATGCATGAAAACACTCCAGCTCTGAGAGTATTCGACGCAGTTGCAGTCGGAGAAAGCAGAGGATAAGGAAGACCTCCAGTCCGTAGGAGAGATCTAGTGGAAACCGATCTGGCTGCACTTGGTATCGCGAATTGGCGCCAAATAGCGAGCAGTAGAAACAACTGACAATAGATGCATAACCACTGGCGCGCTGCTATCAACTCGGCTATAACCGCATAAGCGGAGTCTACGCCACTAAAGAAGAAGAACTGCTATAATACAGGGTTTGTCCGAAAAGTAACAAGACTGACTTTCTTCCACCGCGACTGTACTTCGGAGCGTGCTTGCACCGACTGGATTCGGTAGAAGGCGTTCGTTGCCAACGAACAAACGGCTGGACAGTTGTCTTCGAGCAAATGGAGAGTAATGACAAACATTTTCGTGTGACGTGCTACTGTGAGTGGTGCAAGCTGAAAATGCAACGTTCGTTAGAGCAGAGATACTCGATTAAATTATGTGTGACACTCAGTAAATTGCGACAGAGACGTTTGATATGGTCAAGCAGGCTTACCCACACGTTGCTTTAGCAAGAAGTGCTCGGTTTCGGTGGCATCAAGCCTTTTTGGAGTGACGTTAAAAGGTTGCTGATAAAGACCGGAAGAATGAACAAATTCGTAGTGAAAACGATGCTCATGGTCTTTTTTGATATCAAAGGCATCATCCACCATGAATTTGTTCCTCCTGCACAAACCGTCAACGCCAAGATTTACATGAAAATCCTCAAGAGACTCAAACTAAGGGTGAATCGGGTTCGACAGGACATCGCAGTCGATTGGAAGTTGCACCGCAACAACGCCCCGGGGCACACCGCTTTCTTGTGAACAGGCAGCATGTACATCGGCTCTCAAGGCTATTCCGGGGCATGCCTTCAATGCTTGGAAATCGTGCTGACAGCGCTGCATCGACGCAAAATGAGATAATTTTGAAAGTTTTTAAAGAAGCCTGTGCGTTCCCAACTTGATGGAATTTGGGTAAGAGGGCCTTTTCTGCAAGATCATCGGCTTAGTGAGGTCTCACTCCAGCTCACGTTGGCGACTTTAAACCCCGACCTTCATCGAAACGTATCCTAACCAATATTAAACCCGATGTTTTTCCATAATTTTGCTGCATCAATTCCTAATGAGGAGCCCGAAAACCCAAAAAATCTCTTAACCACACTTTTTGCGCTTTAACCGTTAGTAATACAAACCGTTAGGCA